AAAAAGAAGAATTAAAAAAACAAATTACTCACGTATATATTGATTCCGCGTTAAACTCATTACAATTTTTCGCTAAATCGTGTATAAATCCTGATCTGATCTACTAACGAAAGCTTTTTATTTATGGTGACGATTATCTTTGAGCTATACACAACCGTTTGCTGACGTCAGGCGAATCTCGTAGATTGGTGCTGCAAAATCACAAGGACATTTACCAAATATCCCAAATCGAATCACAACAACTAAAATGGATAGAACCTGTAACTAGAAAAGAAAATGTGGACAGACCTCTCATCTACAGATCCCCAACCATCAACGGACTTCAGAATGCAATGGACAAAATCTGTAGTCAAAATAAAAAAATAAAACCTGCAGGAAAAAAAAAACTTCCAAATCATCAGCAATGTATTTCAAAATTTGCGGGCTTAGCGGAACGAGTCGTATTAGTTCTCACAGTGACTGCTTGGTGGCGGTGGCGAACCTTTCAATTTTAAAGATGTGTGTACAGTATATAAAGTACGATACATTAGCGCGTGTGTGAGAAAGTAGCTGTTAGAGACCTATTGATTAATATATCAATATTAAGTATATATTTATTTATTTATACCAAATATACATGTTTATATTATTTACATTATGATCATAACTACTGGTAGTTACTATAGTCGTTTTATAACTCAAAAATAATCCCTTCCCATCTACGAACAGTCGGTTTTAATGGACCCCCTATTAGTCCATCGATGATAGGTTTGTAATAACATAATCAAGATTCTCGCTTTTCAGTCTTTATAGCGTCCAAAAGCGGCTGTGGGGCCTTGTAATTATAATTATTTTCCACCCAACAACCGCTTTCTCACAGACAAGATGTGGCAAGCCTCTCGCTGCTCTATCGATACTACCACGGAAAGTGCTCAGACGAACTACGTTCATTAATTCCACCAGTTCTAACCTCCACGGGTAGGACCTGCCATGCACGCCCATTGTAACGAACCACCCTCATTACCTCCGTATTCCATTGGTAAGAAGTACTACTTGAGCACATTCTTCTCGTGAACCGCTGCTCTGGGAACCGATACCCAATTGGATGTTTTCCCGATCAATACAATCTTAGCCCGTTCAACTCTAGGGATCAACGTTATCTCCTCAACATATCCGCATCAACTGTGCCTGTGACTTTTTAACACTCTACTTTGAGTGATACTTAGACCGAATGTTTCCGTATAAGCATCTGTTTGGTTTGGTCTACGGCATATCAACCTCAATGGGTTATTTAATGTCGACAAAATTTTTATTGCTGGTAAATTTTTTTTTTCCAAAAATGTATTGCTAGTAATATTTTTATTATAAAATTGTATTGCTGTTTATAATGTATTACTGGTAATAATTTTTCTTCAAAAATTTATTGCTGGTGATAATTTTTACAAAGTATTCTTGTACTAAAACTTTTTTACATTTTCATAGTGTTTTGATCCCAATTTGAGTGTTAATAGCTGGGACCCTAACAGGTGCTACCTCCCGGGTCAGGATGGACGTGGGAACACCAGCAATTAAGAGGTGGTTCCACGATCCTCAAAACCACCTGATCAGATGCCTTGCTGTTGGATGTAGTTTATCGTCTTACCCACGACGCGGATGTCGTTTATCGTCATCCCCAGAACGGGTATAAGCATCTGAGTAATCTTAAGCTTGTATTGTGTGAACTTAAGATAATTACGTATTTCACCAATTTGTTTTTTGATCGATGTTCCACTGTATATATAAAAACAGACAGAATTTAGAATTATGAACTTCGAGATAAGAAAAACATCCAAACTTTGAAATTTGGTGGAATTCAATCTGTTTTACTTTATTTTTTTTATTTTATTTTATTATTATTACTTTTTTTTTGCAGTAAGGTCCACACTATAAAGGGCCCTGGTGCCATTCCAGGTAGAGGGTTACATTAAAGAGCAGTTTATACAGATAGGAGGGAAAAATAAGGTTAAATCTAACCGTGGTTCGCGGGAAGAAGTGCAGGATTTGGTCATAGTAAATATTAGTAAATGTTGTATCCTTAAAAATGGTTACAAATGGGTAAAGATGGTACTCGAGTGAACAGAACAGCAACAGAGGAAAGAAAGAGTGGTTTATTGAAGACAGGGAATCGGTTAGCAAGCTAGTAATTCCCGAAGCAAGGATATCTAACAAGCGCCCATGCGGTCAGATGTTGCACACTGCTGAATTTAACGTGGGGTATCCGAACCTACGTAGGCTCGGCCAAAAATTCCCCGTATAAAACGAGGTCGGGTAGATGTTTCCCAAGAAGAGAGTCTACCCTTCGGCATAGCCTCGTCTGGGGGTCCTCTCTGCCCGGAGGCAGAGGGTTTGACCAGAAAAGCTGGAGACGAAACTCTAATTAATTCCCGAAGCAATGATAATTACCTTACCTCCGCGCGAGGCAGGGTGTGGCACAAGGCTGTTTTTTTAATACGGGGATGAACCGAACCCGTAGGCTCGGGCAAAAATTCCCCATTGACCCTGCATACACGAGGTCGGGTAGCTGTCTAATACCCCAGACGAGACTCTGCCCTTTGGCATAGCTTCGTTCGGGTTCCTCTCTTCTCGAAGGCAGAGAGTTCGACCAGCACAGCTGGAGACGAACCTTTAATTAATTCCCGAAGGAAGGATATCATCCAACTGCCCCACGAAGCAAGGCTGAACTTGACGTGAGTTATCAGTGCCTGGAGGTTCAGCTAAAAATTACCCGTATAAAACGGGCTCGGGTAGCTGTTCGCCGATAAGAGACTCTGCCCTTCGACATAGCCTCGTCTGGGGATCCTCTCTGCTCGGAGACTGAGAGTTTGACCAGAACAGCTGGGGACAAATCTCCAACTAATTCCTGAAGCTAGGTTATTTACCTTACCTCAGCACGAGGCAGGATGTGGCACAAGGTCGATATTTAATGCGGGGCAAAACCGAGCCTGTAAACTCGGGCAAAAATTCCGCGTAGATCCCGTATACACGGGGTCGGGTAGATATCCACCACAACAGACAAGACTCTGCCTTTTGGCATAGCCTCGTCTGGGGATCCTCTCTGCCCAAAAGCAGAGAGTTCGACTAGCATAGCTGGAGACGAATCTCCAACTAATTGCCGAAGCAAGAATATTTGCTAACGGCCCAACGCGGTCAGATGTGGCCGAAGGCCGAATTTAACGTGGGGTATCCGAGCCCGTAGACTCGGACAAAAATTCCCCATTGACCCCGTATACACGGGGTCGGGTAGCTGTCTACCACCCCAAATGAGATTCTCCACTTCGGCATAGCCTTGTGTGGGTTTCTCTCCGCCAGAATGCAGAAAATTTGATCAGTACGTAGGCTCGGGCAAAAATTCCTCGTAGACCCCGTAAAAAACGGGGTCGGGTAGCTGTCTACCACCCCAGACGAGACTCTGGCCTTCGGCCTAGCCTCAACTGGGTTCCTCTCCAGAGAGTTCGACAAGGTTAGCTGGAGACGAATCTCCAACCAATTGCCGAAGTAAGTCGCCAGGTATATCCTGTGCACACTGTATATATTTACTGAATATTGCCAGTCCACATAGACGATAGGGAGAGTGGGACATTCCATTACAACAGTAATAGAATATCCCACTTTCCCTATCGCCTATAGTATTTTGACCATCGTAAATATTTGTAAGTATATGTGTGTAAAAATATTCGGATATTTATGTGATTCGTGTCTGAAACCAAATTTGAAGCACTGAAAATACAAATTGATGGAAAATAATCTAAAAATTTGCTAAGCATTGATATTTCCATTTGCAGCACGAGTGACAAGGATGTATCTTCACTTTCGATTCATTCTACCTCTATAGCGGCGCTAACGTAAGCGAAATGGAGGCACTGCCAGGATTTAATATCGGCGTTCGTAAATCTTAACGATATAAGATACGCAGACGACATTGTGTTGATGATCAACTCGGAAAGGAAACTGCAGGACATACTAGACAGGGTATGAGAAGAAAGCGCGACAAAAGGACTAACCATTATTGCGTTCTGTGTCGTCTGTACGGCTCCACATTGCTTGATTATATGGTATTAACCAAAAGATCTATTAGAAGAGAGACAGGGGTAGCAGTTTGTATTCTAAGGGGCAGCGCATGCCGCACGTTGGATTAACATCCCGATGCTAATGGTCTCGTCCAGTCTCTCGAACATGGGTGTAGGGAGCGTATCAACGCTTTAAAATTCTTGCGTCCCTCTGTGTAATTTGCGCCATATTGGATTTATATCTAAAACCCAGACAAAGGCAATCCATCACTGTTAGCATACCCTAAACCCTACGAAACACTCCGGCCAATCGCTGATCATTCTGGCCCTGGACTTCGCATTCTGTAACACCATCAACTGCACAACTGCAGGAAGATTAAAATAAATGATCATCAGCAAAAGAAAGAAACATGTGAGTTACGAATTGCAG